GTCAAAGATAAAAAAAAAAAAATTATGCCAAAGGATCAATGGATAGTTCTGTTACCAAAATTAGCATGGTAGAATTTGTTCAAATTTGCTATTTTTTTACTACTTTCATATAAGCTAAGGTACCATGCTAAGAAGCAAAAGTAAGTCCCTTCAAATGGTGACACTGATCTTTAATAATTAGTCAAGTATAAAAAGTTATTTCTTATTAGAAAGTGAAGCACCGGGTCCGGTGCAATAGCATAGTGATTAAAGTCCTCGCCTTGCACACGCTGCGATCCCATATGGGGGCTGGTTCTAATCCTGACGGCCCCATTTCCCATCTAGCTCCCTGCTTGTGGCCTGGGAAAGCAGCTGAGGATGGCCCAAAGCCTTGGGAACCTGCACCTGCATGGGAGACCCGGAAGAGATCATGGCTCCTGGATTCGGATTGGCTCAGCTCCAAGCATTGTAGCCAGTAGGGGAGTGAACCATCAAACAGAAGATCTTCCTCTCTGTCTCTCCTCCTCTCTGTATATCTGACTTTCCAATAAAAATAAATAAATCTTAAAGAAAAAAGAAACTGAAACACCTAATTGATAAATTACAAGAGAAAATAAGACACATTTGATTAAAGGCTGATGTTGCGCATAATGTGACACTAAATATCTATTTAAAAATATCTTTTTAAATACAAAGATTTTTATTATCTGAGATCAGAGATAGATTTTTGAGTAAAAAGTTACTAAGTAAGGATCTTAACTTTTTCACAACGTGAAAAAAGAACAAGTTAACTTAGTAAATGTGTCATAATCTCTGAGGAAGTTTCTAATTTCTTTTCCTATCACTGTAACCAAGTTTATATAATAGGAAAAACCACAATAGAGTTAAGGCATCAATTATTTTCCCATTCTGCACGTTACACAGGAGGAGGGGAATTATTAACAGGAATGATAAAGCTGTAGTTGCATTTGGTAACACAAAGAGAAGCTTACAAATGAGATGTCTCATTAGTTTGAGCAGATGGATCAAAATTAAAGGCTGAGTCGCCAACTTTTAATTTCCCAGTAGCCAAGAAGAGCTTGAAGTCTTGCAGAGTAGGACTGTTGAAAAGTCAACATGAAAAGATTTTCTCCATCTGTCATCACACATGCCTGAGTGGAACACAACTGCCTCCTACTGTTTTTAATACTTATAAGGCAAAGCTGCACATAAAATCTATTAAGTACATGAGCACACAAGTTTAGCTGATTGGTATACTGAAGCCCATTGAATAGTATGATCAGAACATATCAGCATGGTTTTTTGAACATAAAATTTGTTCTATTATAACTTAATCCAAGTGAGGAAAAAAATGAATTCACATATATATTGAGGAAGAAACTTATTTGTTACACAGAAAATTGCTTAGTTGCCTGAGACTCACAGTTGCTATTCTTTTTAATGGACATACATTTTCAGTCTTCTTTAAGAATGGTCTGAAAAGTAGCTGCCCTGATAAAAGCAAAGTGCATTATGGATCCAATCAGATAGATAACTAAAGAAACTAAAGGCAGGAAAGCAAAATAAACAAACAAACCAAAGATGATCCATTGGGATGATTTTTAAATGAAGGAACAGCTTTGTTTATTCACTTTTTGGTGGGGGCATGTAGAGAAAGAGGTTTGTAGAGAGATAAGGAGACAGGACTAGGGTAGAGAAGAAGGGGGGGGGGACTGTTTTCCCTATCTCTTGGCTCACTTCCCTAATGTCTACAATATCTGAAGTTGGGCTGGGCTGCAGTTAGGGACCAGTATTCACAGTTGCACTTGTTGCCTCTCAGAGTATATATTAGCAGAAACATAGAAATCAAGATCAGAATTGAAACTCCAAAAACGTAGATACTCTAGCATAGGATGCGGAAGTCTGAAGTGGTATCTTAACCAGTAAGTGAAATATTCACCAGAGAATATTTTTTTTTTATTTTTAAACTGAGGGGTTGGATTTTTATGAAGAAGCACCAGGGATAAAACTTCATTGTGCTAGAATAAATTCTGTTTTATTTATTTACTTATTTACTATTGTAACTAACTATTATCATACATTTAAAAGGCAACACATATGAAATACTTCAGTGTGGGGCAGGCTGCTGGCATAACCAGCTAATCTGCAGTACAGTATCCCTTATGGGTGTCAGTTTGTGTCCTTGGCGCTCCACTTTCAATCCAGATTCCAGATTATGACCCTGGCTCAGAAAGTTTCCAGAAAGAAACTCCTGGCTCCTGATTTTTGATGGCTCATTACTAGCCATTGCACCCATTTAAAGAGTGAACCAGTGCATGCAAACCTATATTTTCTTCCCTCAATGTAAAATCTGCCTTTCAAAAATAGATAAATAGATACATAAATCTTTTAAAAAAGAAGTAACTGGATATGTCTTTAATGATAAAGAGAAGCATGTTTATTAATGTGTAGTTGGTTTATAATAATGCACTAAATTGAATCTAGTCACAACTGTAACTAAATTCCAGAAGCAAATCTCTCTACATGTACATACACGCTTTACTGTGCTTACATATACAAGAAGATACTTAAATACAAAAGGATCTCTTAGAATGAAGCACATAGTTAGACTTTTTAGGCATTAGAAGTGGGCAAAATATCAATTTGGCTACTTGTGTTTTACATAGATGAAAAGTTTCTGAATTATTTTTCATCTTCTGATGGATAAATACAAAGCCATTTGTTCAAAGTGATGACCTGGAACCATACACAGCCGATTATCTGAGATAATGCTATCTTCAATATCAATTATGACGTAAAAACCCCACTCAGAAAACCTATTTACTCCATTCGGAAATTCTTGGTTAAATTTCTATTAAAAGCAGAGGACTACGTTTCTGTGAAGGCATTTCTCCAAAGAGATTTCTTAAAAGGCAAAATAGTCCCGAAGGATTCTGAATTTCTGAAAACGAACCTCCCAAAGACTGTCAATAATGAACTACTACAATTTTTGTGCAATGGTATAAATTCAGAACTGTTAACTTGTTGAAATTAGAATCTACATTAGCTTCCAAGATGAAACAGCTTAAACAACTCTTGTTTCTAGGTATTTATGCTGTGATTTTTCAGTGCTGAACATTTTCCAAAGGCATTTAGAAGCTGCCATTATCAAGTTCAATGATCCTACAGGTTAAATAGCACTTGGCAGAGGAAACTGTAAATAAAAGGCTTAAAAAAACAAAGCACTCTTTTTGAAATTATTGATCGAAAAAATTAAGTTTTTGGGCATCTGTTTCTGATATACACATAAATAGATTTATAAAGAAAAGAAAATCCTATAATTGTGTTGCTCAATTAATTTGAAAAAAAAAAAAACTTGCCTTCATTTAACCATTCTGAAAAAAAATAACCTATTACTTTACCAGTTCAGTCCTTATAATGTGAAAATGTTGCACAGCTTTAATTTCAGCAAAACTACAGGCAACTGTCAAGCAGTATACTATGGGTCTTTCACATTTCATATTCCCCATTACCTCACCAAATAGCTGCTATTCAGTAACACTTTAGAATTTAAAGAATCTTCATGTGTTACATGTATTTACTCACAAAATGCTATGTAATGTAACCCAAGGGGACAACTTGATATAAAATAAATGTAAGTGAAAGTGACAATGACCATGATCAGCACTCTACATTCAGATGGCCTAGATCTGAAAATGCTCTGGGAAGACTGACTTAAACAGATCACTTTACTCTGCAAAGGTTCTGTCTTCATCTGTCAAGTGAAGACAGGATAGCCGCAGAAAATTATAAATGGGAAATAAGTTTATCAATCTAAGGTATTTATTAAGAACTAGGAAAGGCTACATTTATTTTACTATTGATATTATGATATAGTTTTTAAAAGCCAGGGTTTATTTTATTAAAAGATATTTTTAAAACAAAAACCTATTGGGATTAGTTAGATATTTCAAAATTTCAAAACCATTTCTTGAAGAGAGACATAGTGCCTACAGTATGCACAGAAGGCAGGGTTCCAAGCTTCACAGGGCAGGCCATCTCTGACTCGTTTTACATGTTAGAGATATTAGCCAAAGGGGCAAAGAAAAAAAGAAAACACTTCATGTATCATGAAAAGCTAACACAGTAAAAAAAAAAAAAAAAAAATTACAATAAAACAAACCCAACATCTAAACCATTAGCAATCAGATAAACATTCACTTTTATATTAGCAATTGTTATTCCAGTTTTTCTTTAATGAATTTAGAGAATTTCAACACTGTATAATAAAACAAAAGTGTATAAGTACATAGATTTTAATGGCTGAATTCATGAAAAGAGTTAAAAACAATACATATGGAGTAGAGAGGCAATGAGGCCCCCACAGGTTACACCACTGCCTGGGACACTTGAACCCCGCAGACGAGTGCTGGTTTGAATCCCAACTCCTCAATACTTCGAATCCAGATTCATGCTAATATGCCCTGGGTGCTAGGATCCTAGCCAAACATGTAGGAGACTGGGATAAAATTCCTGACTCATACTGCAGCGTGGTCTAGCCCTAGCTGTTGCAGTCATCCGGGGAATGAAGCTGTATCTTTCACCTCTCACTCTATGTGTGTCTCTCCCTCTGTCAATTTGTCTTTCAAATCAAATTAAATAGTTTTGAAATAAAGTTAAAATACATCTTAAAATTTTATATTATGGTTAAAAAATACCAATTACAACTTCTGCTGTGTAAAATAAATTGGATGCTACTTTAAAAGACTAATAGAAACGTAAGGGTGAAATTCTTCTTCACTAACATATTTGATTAAAATGGCAAACCCAAGAACATAAACCATTAATACTGAGTTGATAATGCTTCCCATGAATATTTTCATGATTTAAAAGGTTACCTACTGGGTATAAACAGCAATTAAAAAATAATGAAACATTAAATCACTGGCTCTGAATTCAAGAAATGCTTTGACAGACTAAAAAATTGGTAAATTTTATCATAAAACATTCTCTAAAAACAGCATAAAATAATTTAAATGTACCTGGTGGCCAGCTTTTACTTGCTTTAAAACATTTTCATAGCATACTTCATCCATATTATTCAACTGCTGCATCTTCAAGATTTTGAGACATGACAAAAACAAATTGAAACTATTATAAGTCTTCTATCAACAAAAAGTTTTGTCAATCACAGTGTATTTTTGTTTCACATGAATTAGAATATAGAAACAACAAATGCAATAGAAACGCCTAATACATAACAATCCACATGAATTAAATACATGAAATAATAAAATACCATAACATAAAAATTGACTCAAAATTAAGTTTTAGTTAAAAATACAAATACAATATTTCAGACAATAGTTTCAAAGTACTAACTCTTCCAGGCTTCCAAAAAGATAGCATCTTTCAGGATGACACACTACTTAAAGTAACTGTGGACCAATTTTTAAATTTGTTCTCTTTTTTTCAGAGAAGTCTGTTTTACAGGCATTTCAATTTGTAAACTAGACTGTTTTTGTACCTAATTCTCAATGCTGCAATAACACTGCAGCTTGAATATCAAATGGCGTGTGAGATCTGAATAGAGATGAAACTAAGCATTTCTGTGAGATCCATGAAGAGCAGCATCTCTCTGCTCTTCTGCTGAAACACTTTCAGGATTAACTAAAAATCTAACATACACTGCATGAAATAAGGTCTCACTACCCCTGTGAATGACAAGAAGGTAGTTAACTGCAACAAGAAAGGGGATGAAAAGTGTCCTGCGTATCTGAATGGCTAGTCCTCAGCTCTGTTGTTCCAACAGGTAAACCAATGTAGCTTCTCCAAATGTTAAGAAAGATACAAATAATAATTGTCTTCCACCAAAATAATAAATCCCAGTAACTTCTCTAAAGTGTATTTTGGGTTAAGTTCTGCAAAGGCTACCATTTCAACTTAGCCCCAAGAGTCACACTATTTTCCCATGTTCTTTCATAAAGAAAGAACATAAAGAAGAGGGAGTGGGTGAAAACTATCACATGTGCATTGTATACGTGAAATGTCTACTTTATATACATTTAAAAAAAATGAAATGAAACCTTCCAAATGAAACCTTAAGAAACCTAGTAAGAACTGCTTCTTTCTAGCACATAGCAAATTAACAGCTGATTATAAAACACACCAATGACCCAGAAAATACCTAATATGGTATCAATCATATATCTTAACTAAGTATAAAACTAACAGATTTTAAACAGATAAGAATCTGCATTTACAACACATACCTGGACAATTTGTAGTTTGTATGAGATGTAATTTTTAAAAAATATTTTTGCCGAAAACAGTTCATCATCCAACATTATTCCATTCACAATTAAAATGTATATATAGTCTTTGAATTTAATTAGTTTAAATGACTTACTACCTTATATGATGTAACTGCAATAAAATTAACTTTAAGATGGCAGATAAGCATCTGAAACAATTTCTCTCTCTTTATCTCTCTGTGAGAACCATCTGCTATCAATTAAGTTATAAAGCTAAAAACATGTCAAAGCTATAAATAGTTCTACATCTAGCCTGGTGATACAATAAAATAAATAATCAAATGTATATTAAGTCATGACAAAAAACTAAAACCTGAAGAAGCAAGTAATATGGACAAGTATTTGAAACATAATGGAAGTTAAGATAATCACAAGTATGAAATGGCTACTTATAATTTAAAAGACAGCTTTATGAAAGGTAGTTAGTACGTATTAACCTCATAGAAACAATAATTCCTGATGTTTTTAGTTGAGTATTTTGCTTATTTAAAATAGTATAAAATGGTCCAATTTTATTAAGAAAACAGTTTAGACAATAATAAAAACAAATAATAAGAAATAATAAATAAGAAGAAATAATAAAAGAAATAATAAAAACAAATAATAAAAAATAATAGGTAACACATTTCATCATGGCTTTAGTAAAGAGATCAACAGGTCTATATATAATGTCTAAAGCTTCTTATTTTACTGAAAAATGTGTTGTTGAACGAATTAATGTAAATTATAACTTTTATACAAAGTAAAAATTTCCTTATCATGCAATAAATCCATAACAAGCACCCTAATAGTATAAATGTATATGGTGGTTAAATGTTTGAACAACTAGAAACAAACGTCTTCTTACAAACTATAAAACACAATTTCAAAAATGTCATTTAAATTAAATAGAATACCTTCCCAAATGGATGCTACCATGAAACTGTTTTTCACTTTCATATGAAATATTATTTATTTTAAGTGGTATATCAAAAACATAATTGAATTGGCATGTTTACTATCTTATAACATCTTTAATAACATCAAAATAAGAGCTAAAACAGTGAAACTACCAGAAGCAACTTTAAATAAAAATATTTTTAGATAATAAATGTTTCATATTAAAGAATATATTTACCTTATTTGCACTTTTAATCCCCAAAAATGTCTGTCCAAGAGGCACTGGTCGAAAACGGCCATCAAAGAAGAAAAGTCCAATGTAAGGATTAACATGCAAAAACGTGGCAACATCGAGGTAGTTCGGTAAGGTTGCAGACAGCCCAAGAATCCTTATCATGCTCTGTGTAGATTCAACCTAAAATGGGTCATTATAATTAGTTATATTAATCATGCAGGTTATTTAAATAAATTTAACTAGAAATATAACACGATCAAGTGTCCAAATAATGGGACCTCTATAAACTACACATGCAAATGAACTTAGAGGTCAACTGAGGATTCTAGCACAGCATTTTATTTCTTAATTCATAATCTTAATTCGACAAATTCACAAAGGACTTCTAAAATACATATGGCAGCTGATATTAAATGAAAATGAGAATTTTGTAATAATTAAATGTTTAATTTGACTGCAAGAAAATCCACAAATGCTGCAGGGCAAAAAATCCTATCAATCACATTATATAATTATAACGTAAAATACCTAAAAAGATAAAAGCCAAGGATAGCCAAAAATTTCTATTGATATAGTAATTAAGATGCTGAAAGGCAAATGCTAAACGCTATGTTTTCTCTCATATGCAAAAGTCGCTCTGAAATTAAAACACTAATTATTAAAGGATGGGAGAGGCAGGTGAGAGAGGCTGAATAACTAGAACCAAAACACATTTAAATATAAGACAATTATTAGTGTTATACAGCTGAGAAAAGGACCACAGTTTACAATAATGCAGTATATACAAAACAAATAACTAGCTGAGGGGATAATAGGCTCTAAACACACAGAACAGATAAGGTGAAGGGGAGGCTGGGAATGTGATCGGTTTGTGCTGTGCCTGTATCTGCATTATTGTAGTGTGTTCCATCAAAATGTGCTACTACTGAATGTCAATGAAAAGCAATAAAAAAAGAAAACCCATTTGAAAAATATATCATTATGATCCCATAATGTTACATTTAATTGACAGTAAATTTTCTGAGGAACATACTGGTAAGTTTGTTCAGTCTTCGCAGACAAAATGAGTATAAAGCAATTCAATGTGAATAACATGAGAATCATTCATCTATTGATGCAGGGTTAGGACCTAAATCCTAGGAACTGGGAATGCAGTACTGAATAAGGCAGATTTACACATACAAAAACTATGTGCAGGCACATAAACAGGGAGGGTTCAAAAATGAGATGGCTGAAAATTAAAGCAGAAATACACAGACAACATTTTATGACAAACTGGTTTGCACTGAAGAAATCTTACAAGTGTCAGTAAAACCCCAAACAACTTCCTTACAATATAGTCATCAGAATAATGATTTTAGTGCTATAAGTTATTTTTAGTACTAGTGATGCTTTAAAATTAAATTTGGTTGTAAAACCATTATTTAAAACACAAACACGACTGAACATATTTTGAGATCTCTTAATGCGAAAATCATAACCTAACAGATACCAGAGATAACTTCTTCCTGCTAAAAAGCTATTTAACAAAGTTAATTAAGAAGACAACTAGTTCCCCACAAGCCTTGGATCCCTTATACTTTTATCTTTTCTGAGCTTATCTCTGTCATTCCAAATGTATTATGAGATTAGTGTCAAAAACCATAAAGTAATTTCATATCCTGAATAAAATTTACACTGTAATTCTGACATGTTATATGAAACACTGCCATCTACTGGAAAAAATCTGGTTATCTCAAGGAACAAACAGGAATTTTTTCTTTATCCTAAAAATTGTTACAAACACTACACTTCAGCATAATCTGAACCATACAGTCAAGGAGATTAAATTCAGCTGTGGGATATATATGAACAGAATTAAATCGTAGCAGGATGAGTTATAAGAAGACTGATAACTGCTAAAAATGCGCAAAGAAAGGCAGTACAAAAAGTATATAACTGGAATCTGGTTACTTTTTTGAGATAACAAGGTAAACAGGAATTGATATATTTATGTTATATATTATAATATGCATATTAATATAGTAGATACATTATATGTTAAAGTAAAGTAAAATATTAATATGGCAATAACACATTTAAATTATATACTTTGATATTAAGGTAACATTAAGATGTCTAAATATACTATTTATGCTCCACAACAGCAAATATATAATTTTTAAATGATTTGTCTAATTTTTATTTGAAAGGCAGAGCTATGGATAAGAGGAACAATAATCTTTCAGCTGCTGGTTCACTTCACAAAAGGCTGCAATGGGGCTGAAGCTGAGTTGATCAGAGCCAAGAACTTCTTCAAGGCCTTCTACATGGGTGCAGGGACCTAATGACCCAACCATTCTCCGCTGCCTTCCCAATCGTAAGCAGGGTGCTGGACTAGTAGTGGAGCAGCCAGAATTCAAACTGGTGTCCATATAGAACATTCATGCCACAGGCAGAGAATTAGCCTAACATGCCATGGTGCCAGCCCCAAACATACATAGTTTATGTGGAAAACCATGCTGTCATACATTTTAAATACTTTACAAAATATTTCTATAATTGTAGCGACTGCTTAAAAATGTGTACACTCCATTGTGTGAATTTATTTGTATGTGTGTCTACGTATGCATATGTATATAAAGGATTCTTTCTCCTTTCTATTCTTTTTTCTTACTGGGAATGCTCAAGAAATAAAGAAGCCCTGGTTAAATGCCCTTACATGTCAACAACAAAATCCTGGCAAATATGTTAATATTTACTTGGTCTCTAATGTTCTATATTTTCAGGGTTAGTCTTTCAGCTTGTTCTGCCTACCAGCTCATACCATGTTAAAAAAACTATGAATTCATACAACATGGCTTTCAGAATAACACTGTTAAGCTATTTAAACATCAGGATATAAATTAAGACATTTCATGATAAATAAATAAAGCTGTTTTTTATAAATGATGTCTTCAACATTTCTTTCTGAGTTTTCAGAAGTAAACTCTGGGCCTAAGAGTGCCCGCTGTCTCAATAATTCTTCTTGAGTTTTCAGAGATAAAATCTGGCCCCGAGAGTGCCCTCTGTAGCAAAAAAGGAACCCTGGAGCAGAAATGGCAGTTTTAGATTATGAAAGCCTTTCCTGTTTCTCAAAACTATCCCTCTGCTAGGGGCTATTCTTAAATTGGGTATTAGCTAAAAATCTCTGCTAAGTGTCTTCTGCTTGGAGCATTTCAACACTCTGTTTCATAAGTGTGTGTATACATATTTTTAAATTTATGCGGTTAAGTCAAACATACCTCAAACATTTCTCAAAATACTCTTCTAATTTTGCCTCTATTACAGAAACGTTTTTCAGCATGCTTTACATCATGTATGAGAATATTTCGAAAATTTCATAGAAAATGTAATTAGAAAAGTATTTTGGCGCAAAAAATTCTGAAAACCTTGGTTTCATAATAAACATTTCTATGAACTACTTCAGAACATTTTACTTGCTAAACCTAAACAAGAACTTTTCTTTGTTTACTACCAAATCTATAAAATTAAGAACTATGTGACTAGTACACAGCTGGTGGTCAACATATGCTAACTGAAGAAATGGGCAAGGTGCTGCTGCTGAGGGGCAGCACAATGAAGCTGTCATTTCACTGTGCGAATACGGTATTACTTATTAATGTATTCCTTCTGTTGCTTTCTGAATTGTTTCTAAAATATTATATATCAAAACGAGGACTTCAATGACTACTTGCATTAATAAATTATTATGAGTTTAGGCTCTTATCTCCCATGGCTGGAGCCTTAGAGGTAAAAATACAGGATACCTTTCAAATGATGTTTTATTTTCATCTTTGCCAATCTAATAGAAATGTCTCATGTTGCTGTGGATATCCTTTCAGATCTTTTCCAAATTTCTTGGTATTTTTATTTTTAATGTGAAATTATTATTTTTCAATTTCTAAGATTATTTTTCTTACTAATTCAGATAAATCTATTAATTATGTGGCTTTACTATTATAAACATTATTTGATCTCCTATATTGTTAACATTTCCAAGGGATATCTTTACTGATGAGAAAAGTAGAGCTGCAGAAAAAGACAGGTAGAGTGATAGGTAGGGAGAGGGAGGGAGAGAGGGAGAGAGGGAAAGAGAGGGAGAGAGAGACAGGCAGACAGACAGAGACTATGAATCAATTTAAAGCCTTCGCAGGCATATTAGCCAGAAGCTGGACAGAAACTGACTAGCCAGGACTCAAATTGGCACACTGATACAAAAGACAGGTGTTTCCAGTGTGCCTTAACCTGCTGGGGAACAATACTGGTGCCTCTCTGGCCTATAAGATTATATTTAAAAACTCTCCTCTTTAATCCCCAATGGAGTCAAGAGTTTTGCTTGAGACAATCAAATCATTAGTCTGCCCAGAGTTTAATTTGGATTTGTAAAATGAAAAACAGACTGGTATTTTATAATTCCTTTTATATGTCATTTCTTAAAGTTTCTTATTTCCTTTTTTATACTATCCCACTTGCATGTGTGTCATGGTAGTTAGGTTATGATATACAAACTAACTGATATCTAAGTATATATCTGAGATGAGGGATATGAAGGACAGGACAATTTTGACTATGATTCTTGATTTAGGCCTGGGAATCAAGTTGATTATGATGTCATATGTTAGTTACAAAGCTAAGGTGACAGATTTCTAACATGCTTGGCAAAGATGTGCTTTGGGCAGAAGCAATACAACTGAGCTTGGATATGGTTGTAAGTTAGGCAAATGGATATACACATCTTACATACTTTATAAAAATTCAGGTGACACAAGCACACAAGTATCATTTTCCCGATGTAAATATTTAGACTAACAATAGATGGCTAGCAGTGGAGTCTCGGAAAACATCAACATTCCAAAGTCAAGAAAAAGAACATGGAAAAGAGAAGTCATGTAAGTGAAAAAGTTCAATGCAGAAAAAAAATGACAGAATGGCATCATGGAGCCAAAAGGAAAAGTCATCAGATTAAGCAAACAATGAAATACAAAAAGAGTGGTACCAAAGTTCAAAAAAAAAAAAAAAAGAAGAAAAACAAAAAGAAAGAAAAGAAAAAAGGAAAAATTAACAAAAAAGAAGAAAAAAGAGTTTGAGAACTCTTCAGGTAGCTAGTGAACCTGCTTTCAAAAACGCATCATTTTTGTTCTGACAATGATTGTGTTGCAATAGTTGAAAGGGAAACAGTGAATGTAATATTCCCAGAAAGTAGGCAAACTTGACTAAGTTGAAGTTAATGGGGAAAGAGATTTTTAGGGAGATTTTATGGTTAAAATAGAAGGAACTTTGTGATTCTTTCAAGTTAAAGGGTTAGTGTGAACTGAGACGTAGTCTAATAGAAAAGGGATGACATATGGAGTGAAAGAAAAGGGCTTGAAGGCAAGGAGAAAGGGATTTTGGAAAAAAGGAAAAGGGGTGTAATGATGGCCATGGTTATAAGCAGTCATCAGCCGTAAAATGGTGCTTTTGTCGATAGGATTGGAAACACAATGTACAAGCCAGACAACTCTGCTTCCATTCAGTGAAAAAAATACTGTCGTATGGGCTTAAAGCACAACAGAGAGGGTTAGAGTGACAGAGGAAACTGGTGACGCTTGAAAATGGTCACATCACGGGCAGACAAAAATCTGCTTAGAAGTTCTCAGGGTAACCCGAAGGATCCAGGTGGACTCAGACTCAACACGTATTCTACATCAATCTTTGAATGTCTACTGATGCTTATCCACATCATTGAGTCAGCTTTACTAGTGATCAGCAGACTGACTATAAATGCAGACATGGCTCTGTTGACATATCCTCATTAAGCACTCGGGAGGAGTAAAGCTACTGAAAAAGAAAATACGGGGAGCCAACACTATCTGAGAAAGAAAATAACAACAGAACAAGAAGAGAAGACAAAAAATGAGGAATTTTGACAATACATGAATTACCAAAAAAGCTAAAAACTACACACAATATGTTCTTGTCTTCATTAGCAATCTTGAGATAATTTACATTTGGCCAATCATTATGTCACTTGTCTAGTGCTCAGAAACAGATAAATCCTGTTCTGTTTTCTGGGAACCAGAGAGGAAAGAAGACAATCAAAAAAATAATATTCTCCTATGCCCTATAATATTTAAATTCTGCTAAGTCAACATTAGATGTAGCCTTGCAAACAATACAGATTTACAATGGAAGGTTTCCAGCATTTATTCTGGTTAATTTCAAAAGATTTTAATAAAATAAGACTTAGAAGAAAGGACAGGAACCTTTCAATATAAAAAGGAAAGCACTCAAGATTTCTCCATAATAAAATTATCTGTTTCCATGAAAGATGTATGCTAGCATTATTCTTGACTAGTACATATTAAGTTTACAAACTTAACTTTTCCCAAAACAAGCTTGTACATAATTTCTACTTACCTGTCGTAAAGTACGTGCAACGATACTTTCTAATACTGGTCCTCTGTCTTCATGAAGCAAATGCACTTCATCAAGAATAAGCAGCTTGACAATTTGGGAAAGAGCAACATCACCAACACTCTTTCTTGTCACTACATCCCATTTTTCTGGTGTGGTCACAAGCATCTGAAAGACAACAAAATTTAAGCAAATTAAAAAGGAGGAAGAAGCCACATGGGTCATTAGATTTCAACTATATCATTCAAGAAGTAATATTTTGGTCACTCATATAAAAAATAAAATACGAATGTTTAAAATATCCCCAGGAAGACATTAAATTCACTATAAACAAGAGTCATTTCAAAAGGATCAAATAAAAACCAGTAACATTTTCAATAAAATTGACCTTTAATATCAATTGGTATATGCAGTACTTTGTGCAAGAAAGTATGTTTGGTAAAGCATAACCAGCACATACTAGAAACCCCACCGTGAGCCACTGGAAAGCAATCAGCGTAGAGGTACAGGAAATAGGTACAGAGTACTTTTTGTGAACTTCAGGAATGCAGATATCCAGCATGAGCCTGTGATCACAAATCCATTACTTTTGCATAATGAATTGTTTTGATTCTCTCAAAAGACACTACAACAGAGGGAGGTGAGAAAATTTAATAACATGTTCTACTGCACTAATGCTGGTAATTAGGCAATAAGCCCATACCTGGATAATTTCAAGTACCTACTACATAACAGTTCAAAAGCAAAACTCTTAGCCAGGATATCTGAGTATCAATAATTCAAATGTGTTTGTCAGGGTTTACCTGAGACAGGCAACAACTATTCTCTTAACAGCTTTAATATCACTTTAGATTTGTTTTAAAGTCTCTTACGGGAACAACTTCAAGTGAAAAGAAAACTCTTAATAAAAGTAAAATCTAGATTTACCACTACGACCAGTTTGTACTGTTAGATGCTATCTCTATCATTTTGAAACACACTATTGACCACCAAATTTGCATCTGTATGACAACAGAACATGAATACGCAGACTGTAATGAAACAGATGATACAATGCACAGACAAGGTGCCACAGACTACAGACAAGTTGCTTTGCTTGTTGCTGAAGCTAAAATGGCAAAGATATGCTGCTGGAATTAAGTATAAATATGTATAATGAATGCTGAGTTCTAAAACAAGAAGGAACATTGACTGTGCATTAATTAACATCTCTTTTACCATATCACAATAATTTCAAACAGAATTTCTACTTTGAATAATGATAGCTTTAAAATAATCCAACAGAGATTAGCATAAATGAGGGTACTTCAAAAAGCTCACAGAATTAAAAGATATATACATTTTCCATGAACTTTCTAAAGTATCCATGTATACAGATACCTCTAACTAGCAATGTTTTTCACTAAATGTCTTTGAAAAACATACATTCTTTAAAACAGGAATGACAGTAATTCTCCTAAAAGATTAAGTAATGGCATCTTAATGCATAACATAAAGAAGTTAGCTTCTTAATAGCAAATACTTGGAGAGCTATAAATTCTGCTGTCACAATCCTAAGAACAAAGCTTGGCTATCCACTTCACTATGAACTTAAAATACTATCGTAGGACTTTCTCACGTAGGAATTTTCGGGTAACAATGTGACAACAAACTGTAAAGCCCAATTTTCAAACATCAGAAAGATATATTACCAAATCTTAAAAACACTCTCCACTTTTGTTTCCTATACTTTAAGTAAAAAAATGGCTTCATTTATATCACTATTTCACTACTTCAATTCCAGAATTGAAATGACTAAAAAATAAAGTGTCATATTTGCTTAATGAATTGGAACTCATGCAAGACATTTCCATCTGCTTGGGTACTAGGGCATGGGTTAACTGTCAATATTTTCACTGTCAACTTGAATTTCTCACAGTACATGTGCTGACTCCCTGGGTAGTATAAAAATAATTATTCAAAATGATTCGAATTTTAGCCTATCTATTGGGAAAAAGGCATAGTAGAGGTGTTTACACATCAGCACTATGTCAAAAAGTTGGTGTACTGAATTTTAAACTGATCATCAACTTGACAGGAAAACTAAAGAGCTAACAGTTACCAGAACAAACTCTTCTGGTAATACACTTGCACATAATTATTAAAAACTTTATATCTGTATGTAGCAAAATCACAACATTTAGTTTTTCTACAATTGTTTCATGTCTGCTTAATTACCATATTATTTGTTCAAAGTATATTACTTCTTGCAGAAAGGGGCAGAAAATCACAGTGAAATCTTCAACTTAAAATTTGTATAATTATTTGCATAACCCATAGGAACAACTAATCAAAATACAGCAGAGACAGTGCTTCACTGAATGAAGAATGCCTTGTCTAAACCCAAGTATTCATAAACTTGTCCCAAATAGTTTGCCAAATTTTAATCTAAGAATCACCAAAGATATCACAAAACCACTTGTCATGAAACACCCATGAGAAGAATGAGTTTAAGTGTGCATTTTACATTTTGTTCTTTTTTTTTCCATTTTTTAAAATATTAATAGACCAAACTAATCTAATGTTCCTTGAGGAAGAGAAAAAAAGTAAATATCTAAGAAGTAAAAAGACTTGTTACTGTTAGCTTGTGACAACTACGGGCAGATGATCAGGTCCAATGTTAGACCCCAGAGATCAAGTGACTGATGAAAACAATGGACCAGAGCTTTCTAAACAGCTGTCACAAAAAAAATTACACGGTCTTAAATATATATTAAGTCATAATTATTAAAGAGATTAATACTATTACGGTGGCTTGATAAAGAACTTAGCCAGAATGATAATAAAAATAAATGAATAAATAAACACACAAAATACACACGGTGTTTGGAAAAGCAGGGACAGACAGAAACAGGGTATAAAGCCCATTTTGAAGGGACAGATTTTCGCTACATAGAAGTGGGTAGAATTCCGGTCCTGGGTCATTTACTTCTTATCCAGTTCCCTGCTAATATGCCTGGGAAAACAGAAGATGGCCCAGGTATCTGGGACTTCACTATCGATGCATCCAGAAACAGCTCCCTCTTGCCTCCTACTTTCAGCCCAGCTCAGCCTTAGCTGTTGCTGCTGCTTATAGAGTAAACCAGTGGACGGAAGATCTCACTCTTTGTCTCTCACTTGGTCTGTGACTTTGGCTTTCAAATGAATAAGCAAATCTTTAACATTTCGAGTGAGCAAGTCAAAGACAAAGAGGGATGAATTACAGAGAGGAAAAGCCCTAAGAAATAAACAACTGAAACAGTTATAATTGTTATGAAAATAAGTACTCTAAAAAGGAGGCAACTGGAGAAATAAAGACTAACCAGATATTAGATGATATTAAGAAAATATTGCTAAAATTACTTAGCAAATAAACAGTAATATGGTTAGTTTTTCAAAGTTTTCTATAATGAAAAACAACTAGCTATCCAATGACAACATTCCTCTCCTAAAATCTTCCAATTCCAATGAATTCATTTATTACATACCAAACATAATCCTGAAAATTTTAACAAATTTACTATTTATTTACCTATTTATTCATTTGTAAAGCTAGAGACAAAGAAAGTGAGAGGGAAGAGAAGCAAGAGAGGAGACAGAGATCTCTGTCTGTAGGTTCTCTCAGTAAATGCCTGCCAAAGCTAGGGCTCGTCCAAGGTCTAAAGGCAGGAAGATGGGAACGTATCACAGGTCTTCCAAGAGGGTGACTGGAACACAATCTCCACTGCCTCCCAGGGTCTACATTACAGAAAGCTTCAGAAAAAGGCCAGAGACAGAAATCCAACCCTGGTACCCAGCTGGGACACAGGGATCCTAGCTGCTAAGCTAAATATTGCCCCAAGTACAGTTATGCTATTATTAATAATACGCATTTAGCCTCAGACACTGAAAAATGTTTTCCATGTCTATGAGTCATCTGTTTAACTAACCCTGTTATATCTATTTTCTTTTTTTTTTTATATCTATTTTCAAGTTAACATAAGTCATACTGTTAATGCCGAATTGCAAACTTATCATTATGTCTGTTAGAACAATATCTTTCTGAAAGATGGCTATATGTTAAATGACTTAAAGTTTTAAATTAAAAGGATTATAATAAACTTCAAATACAAAAGCTTTTTGCATTAATATTTGAAATACATTTTGAATTGTCTATAGAGAATACTCTACCTGAAAAAAAGTTAAAAATTTTTGTATATAAATGACTTTTGACAAATCAAAATGCTAAACATGGGATGTTTTCCTTTTAAATATCTGCTTGAAAAGTAGAGTTACCCAGAGAGATACATACACACACATACACACACACACACAGAAAAAATATTCCATCTAGAAAGAAAGAATATTCCATCTACTGGTTCACTGCTCTAATGGCCATAATGGGCATGGCAGGGACAGGCTGAAGAATGGTGCCAAGAATACCATCCAGATAGGACTGCAAGCCCAACCACCCAGAACACTTTTTCTGCTTCCGAGGTATATTACAAAGGAGCTGAGTCAGACTAGAATTAGCACTTGAATGGGATATTGGCATCAAACATGGCTGCTTACCCAAATATGCAACAATATCAGCCCCAAATATAGCTAATCAAACTACAGGGGTATATTAAAATTTTTATCAAATATCTGCAGCCACTGATTATATGCTTCCTGGCAATTTTAAGGACAAATAAAAAGGTAAAGTATGTCAAATAAAATTTCACCATTTGTCTTGTAACTGACAAAATATTGGCATATGCATATATTTTTATATGTGTCAATATTGACATAAGAAGAAACTGTTAGAAATCTGTTAACTAAAGCTCTCATGGTCAAAGAAATAGGTCAATCTTTTAATCCCAAGCAGCTCGCTTTGGTGAATACTATATAAGTGCAGCTGGTTCCTCACCTCATAGCAGCTTTTTGCAAATGTTCAAAGGAGTTGGGTCCCTGCAACCCACAAGAGAAGTTCAGATTGAGTTCCCAGCTCCTGGCTTCAGTTCAAGTGGTTATGTGTATTTAGGGAATGGTCCAGTGGATGGGAACATGCATGCTCTCTTTCCACATCTCTCCCTTGCTTTTATTTTCAAATAAACAATTTTTAAAAATTTCTCCCATAATACATCTTCAGTGGTGAGAAAGTCAACCTGGAATTGCTATAAATCATATTC